ATGAGTTAAAAAGTCGTGAGCTCATATTATCTTTAATTCTCTTTCCTCCGTATTCTCGCTACTATAATACCGACTGTCAGTTACAAAGTCGTCTGCTCAAATTTTTCTTTCTCATTCTTCTACTGTATCAACGATCAGTTACAAACTCGTGTACTTAAATCTTTCCTCCACATTCTCCTCCTACACAACCGACGGTCAGTTACACACAAAAGTTGGGAGTGTATATGTGAGGCGTGCTGACAAAATGAGTTACTTCTCACATGCCACAAATGCAGATATTGGCCAAAAATCGACACTAGGGACAAATTTCTAGGTTTTCTTTTGATGCAATATTGGTTAAGTACTAAATGCCTTTTGGTTATTTCATACTTAAAAATGGTAAAAACCTAACCTAGATAAAGAATAATAATGTATCTATTTTCTTAGGATTCAAATCCGAGAAGTAACTCATTTTGTCAGCACACTTCACATATTCACCTCCGTATTCTCTTACAATTCACGGTCAGTGACAAAACTGTGTGCTCGAATCTTTCCTTCGCATTCTCCTACTCTACTACAAGAATCTAGATCTATATCAACGGTCAGTTACCAAGTCGTGAGCTCAAATATACCCTCCACATTCTCCTACCAGGCTCGTTCAACTCACGAGGTTCTCGGGTTCTGCGGGTCAACTACAAAGTCTTCAAAAATCGATTAATTATATCAAGACACACAAGAAGCCTACCCCGGAGAACTGACTATCACTTCAGAGTAAATTATTGAGATCATGTTACATTCGATCTTGCTCAAATCTTTCATTCTCATTCTTCTACTATATCAACGGTCGGTTACAAACTCGTGAGCTCAGATCTTTCCTACGTATATTCTCCTGCATTCCCGACTGTCAGATACAAAGTCGTGTGCTCAAATCTTTCTTCCTCATTCTTCTTCTTCTTTTGGTCCCTTGCCCATTTCTATGATATCAATGCAATCTAATTAGTAGAAAAATGTGCGTATGATAATGATAGTGTCCAATAGTGTATTACGTATAATTGTTATAACAAGTGACTGCTACATATAGATGTTCAAGATAATAATAGCTCAGATCAAGGCATCCCCCCCCCCCAAAAAAAAAAGCTTTAGTTTCGGTATCCTCGGATCAGATGTATGTCAAGGATCTGAGAGCAATGATGATTTTAGAAATGATGGTGGTGATAAGTGGCGTCGGTGGCCTAGTGGTTAGGCTCTCGGACTCGCAACCGTAAGGTCGTGGGTTCGAATCCCGTCAGGGGCCCGACGTTGTGTCCCTGGGAAAGGCACTTTACACGAATTTTCCTCACTTCACCCAGGTGGGAATGGGTACCCGGCTATAGACAGCGAAAGATCTTGTCAGTTTGTTAGTGTTTGAGCGCTTAATCAGCTGCTTGCACTGTATGCTTCCCGGGAAGCTGAGAATGTTTCGGAGTGTTCTATGGTCTGCTGGGGTAATAATATAGTGTAAAGCGCATAGAGCCTGCTGTTGAGCGGGGATTTGCGCTATACAAATGCTATCTATTATCTATTATTATTATTATTAAGTGATGATGAGAGATGGCGTTTATGTAAATAGTTACTAAGAAGGCATGCTTCTGTTAGAGTTTAAAAAAAATGTAAGCGTTGGCCATATCTTCTACTATACCAACGATCGGTTACAAACTCGTGTGCTCAGATATTTAATAAAACTATTTCCTTCACATTCTCCTCCAATACCGACGTTCAGTTACAATCATACTCGTGTGCTCAAATCTTTCCTCTGTATCTCCTTCAATATTCACTGTCAGTTATCATGTCGTAATTTCAGATCTTTCCTCCACGTTCTCCTTCTACAAAACCGACGGTCAGTTACAAACTAAAGTTGGGAGTTCATATCTTTCCTCCCTATTCTCTTACACTATTCACGGTCGGCGACAAAATCGAGTGCTCGAACCGTTCCTTCGCATGCTCCTACTCTACTACTAGAATCTAGATCTGTATCAACGGTCAGTTACGAAGTCGTGAGCTCAAATATTCCCTCCACATTCTCCTACCAGGCTCGTTTAACTCACGAGGTTCTGGGGTTCTGCGGGTCATCCATCCAGTTACTTACTTTATTTTATCCGTCCTCCTGTACCTCTAGGGCATCGAGGGGAGAAAGAGTTCCCGGCTCTAGCAAGTTTTATGGCCTGGCAGGGTGGGATATTGTATGTTCCAGGTCTTTCTTGGTCTTCCTCTTGCCTCGTACCTTGGTACTCTTCTGTAGTAGGCTTTACTGGCAAACTGGTGAGGTGCCATACGTGTGAGATGTCCAAACCACCTGATTGTTTGCCTTCGAATGTAGTGGAGGACAGGTGTTGTTCCCGTCATTTCTCAGACCTTTCTTTGATTCCACAAACATTCCAAGTGCTCGTTGTATTCTCGTTGTCGTTTTCCATTTCAGGGTCGTTCTCCGTTTTGGTCCGTCCGTTTCTTTCTCGTATTATTTTCTTTAGCAATAAATAACCCACCATCGGCTTGCTAGGCCTGTCGTGGTTTCACCAGAACCCCGTTAGCGGGACGTTTCAGAGTGACCTGGGATGGTGTTCATGGCTACCGTAGCCGTCATGTGAGTAAAACCCACGCCGTACATCTTCCAAACCCAGCAATCCCCTACTTTGTGCGTTTCCACCTCCCGCGACGATGGAGGAGAGGTTGGACAACAAAGTCTAAAATTTTTAAAAATTAATTATTCAAGACACCCAAGAAGCCTCCCCTGGAGAGCTGACGGCCACCACAGAGTAGATTCTTGAGATCATGTTACATTAATTGTTCTTCGACCGGCGAGAAGGAAAATACGTATGTGGGGAGAGTGGGTGTATAATATACCGTAAAGTGGTTGAGGGGGGGACTACCGACTTACGTATGTTTCGTTCTTTTTTTTTGGTGTCTTTTCTTTCTTGACTTATAATTTTTCCTCAGCCTGTATATGTCTGTCTGCCTGTCTCTCTCTCTCTCTCCCTCCCTCCCTCTATCCTTCCCTCTACCTACCTACCTACCTACCCACCTACCCACCTACCTACCCACCTACCCACC